GCGAAGGTTTCTACAGGTATCTTTTTGGTAGTCGGAAGCCAAGGAGACAGTGAAGCTAATAAGGGAGTGATCAGAGAGAGAAAAAGGAAAGTTGGTGAGGTTGCAAGGAGTGTACAGGTAGGAGAATACAAGGTTGAGGCAGTTACCATTGGAGTGATTAGAAGCGTGTGTCCATTGTTTTAGGTCAAAAGAAGTGGTTAGGCTCGGAAGTTTAGAGGTAGCAGGGGTGTTCAGATTAACAGGGATGTTGAAGTCACCAAGAATGATTGTGGGAATTTCAGAAGAGAGAAAGTAAGGCAGCCAGGCAGAGAAGTCATCAAGGAAGCTTGATACCGGTCGAGGAAGCTGATAGATCACAGCAATTCTTAAATGAAATGGAGCAAATAGACAAATAAAGTGAACTTCAAATGAGGAGAGGGACAGAGAGGGAGGTGAATGAAAGACCTAAAAAGTGCTTTGTGGGGATAGGAGGATTCCAACTCCACCTCTTTTCCGTTCACTAGACCTGGGAGAGTGAGTCCAGAGGAGACCACCATGGGAGAGGGCAGCAAGAGAGGGAAAGTCAGATTCATGAAGCCAGGTTTCTGTAATTGCAAGCAGGTTAAAGGAGTTTGTAACAAACTCACCTCTGCCCATGACCTTTTTATCACAGACAGAGCGGGTATTCCAGAGGGCACAGGAAAAGAGGAGGCTGGTTCTAGGAAGAATAGGAATAGTCACCAGATTGTGTGGATTGCGGCCGCTATTAGAGGATAGGGTGTATTGGTCAAAGGAAAAAGATGGCAGTCCAGGATTTGGGGAAATGTCTCCAGATGTTAGGAGAAGCAGAAGGGTGAGAGAGGTAGTATGCGAGTATGACTTTTATGGAGGGACAGGTCCCAGTGTCCTGGAGGTTTTATTAGTATGTGGGCTCAGAATTAGCAGGAGTTGATGAGTACAGTAATAAGGTGAAGACAGGAGTGAGTTTGATATATAAAAAGGCAGAGGGGTGAAGGAGAGAGAGTTTGAAGCGAGAGGATACAACTGTGAGAAGGAGGAGTAGGGAGTGCATGTTGGAGTGGTGAGATGAAGAAGCAGACTGGGTAAGAGCTGAAAGAGCTGGATGGGGAAACGGGTCACCTGTAGTCTGATTAATATTTGAAGTTGTCTGCTGTGGTTTTCTCGCTGAAGTGCAGAGCCGAAGTGCAATGCTCAACACTTAAGCCATGATCAATACTTTAGCCAAGATGATAGTTGCCAATGCTACCCCTTGCTGTGCCTCCCCTAAGCAAGGCCTAAATTTATACTGAGTTGGGTGGGGGTATTGCCAATTAATCAATTAGGAATGCATAGCAGAGACACATGGCTATCAGGGCAAACTTCTCACACCAAAGGAGGACTACAAGAGAGTAGAAGGGCACAGTTGTAAAGATTAGGATCAGCTCATAAATTTGGGTTAGACAATAAGCACAAAATAAACACCACAGTAATATGGACAGAGTTAGAGATTTTGGAAGCGGTAAGAATTACCAATAAGAACACTGCTTGAGGTGATTGCAGCCGTATTAGTGCACTTGTGACTGAAACAATTGAGTACTGTCCGTGATACTTTTTTTATTTGCACTAACATACAATTTTGAGGACAAGCTTTCGGGGAGTGTCCCCTTCTTCAAAGTCCAAGCATTACTACTCACAAAGTTTTAGCAGAATGTTAGAAGAGATGAAAAAGAAAAAAAAAAAGAAAAGAGGCTAGAGGTAAGACACAGCAAAAGCAAAGAAGGGGGAGACAACACTCACACAGAGGGAGTCATGCTTGAGGTGATAGTCATAAAACTGTTGGATAATGATTGAGGAATCCCATGTCCAAATTAAGGCCGTTATCTCTTGTGTCAAATAGAATTATCATTCTTAGTTCAAAAGTTTTTCTTTCCTGAATGGATTTGAATAATAAGAACACTGATAGTTATGAATCAGCTTCAGTTAGAGGTCAATTTTAAAAGCAGTATAGATTGTCATATAGCAGTGCAGGGTGAATTAGAATTCATACATGGCATGGGTGATAGTACAGATGGATATTGCTAGCAGACATTTACCATATAGCAGTGCAGGGTGAATTAGCATTTATACATGGCATGAGTGATAGTACAGATGGATTTTGCTCGCAGACATTTTCCTGTGATGGGATAGCTTTGACAATAAAACCTGGGAGCTGATTGGTATCTGTGCAGAACTGCACCAGATTTTGCACTCTCGAGTTTTTGTAAATAACCCCTGGTGTGTTCCCATTCAGTTGAGTTTCAACAGGTTAGCATTTAAATCATGCTTACTGTGTCACACAAGCTTGGGTGAATGTGATACACTTCCAAAAATGCTGTACCCTAGTTAGGGCTTAAAATTTCAAGTCTTGAGCTACTAGCCAGGCCTTAAGAGTTACTCGTCACCAACAAACACACACAAACAGAGACACCTGTACACACACACAGACATGTACATACACACACACACAGAAACCTGTACACATACGCACAGAAACACATGTACACACACACATACAGACACATGTATACACACACAGGCACATACAGACATGCATACACACAGATACATGTACATACACAGAAATACACACACACAGAAACATGTACATACATACAGACGTGTACATACATACTCAGACACATGTACACACAGACACATGTAAGTACATACTCACAAATACACACACTCATGTACATGCACACACGCAGACACATGTACACACACACATACATGTACAGATACACATTTACAGATACACACATGTACATACACACAGACACATGTACATGCATACACAGACACACACAAACACACACATGTACACACACACACACCCTATAAAAAGTTGCAGTACTTTGTTGTTCACTCACAGATCCGGGTACTGCACTCTAGGGGGAGGCAGAGAGCACAGCACACACTCCTTCCTTTGCTTTTACTGTGCTCAGCTATTGAGCAGTCTGACAGCTCCCAGTGCCAATGACAGATCAGGCCTGAGCTCCAAGCCTGCTCAGCAAGACGGCCCTGGGGGACACACTCGCCCCCACCATAATTTCCACTCGCCATTAGCGAGCAGGCGAGTGGAAATTTCAAGCCCTGCCCTAGTATGCTTGGTACTCCAATAACAGGGCATACCGTATGCCTTTCCATGCTCTACAACTGCAGTTTATGAGTGGAAAACACTCAATATAATGAATTAAAAAAATGCTGCAATACAAATCTGCCTTTACGTTGTGGTTAGTATCACAAAGTTTTAGTGTTTTAGGTGTACTGGCAACATTAGCTTAGTAGTCTGAGTCTTTTCATGGAGCAGACGGGTGGCTGTGAAATATTAGGGATTTTAGTAGCTGCATGTGCTTCTCAGCCACAGCTTCATTTACAGGTCAGACTGACCTGTTTGTACCGCACAATTCATCAGTAAGCAAGTCTGCAGGCATTGGTTGGAAAGGATTTCATGGCTGCTGAACAGGCTGAACCATCATAGGCACTAGGATTTCTATCCTTGGATTATGCTACGCTGCCATTGGAGGAAACAATAAAAAAAACTATCATTATACACAATTGACACCCTTTGCAAAATTGTGTATAATTTGCACAGTATATTACTACAGCTAGAAATTATATAGTTGCACTAAATAATTCTCTATAACTTAGAAGAAAGAAGTAGTTGGAGAATACAGCTGGAAGAAACTGACGTCTTTGTTAGGCTTTGTGGATTGGGCAAAGTTACATCCACTGCAGGCAAATCTCCCAACACAACCACTGCTGTGTCAGAGCTATAACTGTCCAATCAGCAAAGCTTGTGCTCCCTGCTGATTAACCAATTGCCCTCCAGAGGATTTACCCCCCCCCCTCCTGACCTGGCCATTTTTTGGGATACGGCGCTGCGTTATTTTAACTCACAATTACGCAGTCATGCAATGCTGTACATAAATTGCGCTATAAACAAACAAAAACTGACAATTTTGAAAAAAAACAACTATATTTTTGACTTTTTGCTACAAAACATAAATCCAGTTAAAAAAATGTAAACATCACATTTCTTCATAAATTTAGACCAAAATGTATTCTGCTACATGTCTTTGCTAAAAAAAAATCCCAATACGTGTAAATTAACTGGTTTATGTGAAAGTTATACAAATGGCGGTATAGATACTGGAATTTTTAAAAAACATTTTTTTATACTAGTAATGGTGACAATCAGCGACTTATAGCGGGACTACAGCAGGCATTCTGACACTGGGGGGGGGACTGACTAACTGCCACTGACATCCGCAGTAACACTAATACAGTGATCAGTGCTAATAAAAAGCACTCACACTGTACTAATGACACTGGACAGGAAGGGGTTAACATCTGGGGTGATCAAAGAGTAAACTGTCTGCTGTTTTACTATGCGTGCTGTGTGTGTTTTACTAGGGAAACATACTGCTGTGCATTTCTCTGCTCTGCCAGGAAATGCAAAATCACTTATAGATACGTAATTTTGTGCAGCCCTGCTGCCCTGTAGCAGTGGTTCTACTATAGGGCGGTAGGGAAGCGGTTAAAGAGCTATAGCTCTGATTGAGCGCTGCAGAGAGACTACTGCTTCCACACAGAAAGCAAGACTCCTTCTCTACAGCATGTTTACAGGGAGCAGTATTTTTCTAAATAGGCGCGGCTGCTTTTTAAAAAGACTTTTAGGGCCAAACACGATATACAGATCTACAGATGTAAACGGTAATGGTTTACTGTTCTCTTTTTGTTTACGTCTTTAAAACTAAATTACTGTTGGTGGATCTAAATAAGATTGTAATGTGTGTGGTGTGCTTAACAGTAAACTCTGTGAATGTGAGCAGCTCTTTAAGCCTCAGTCTTTCTAAATTTATCAGTTGGCATATACACTATATTGACAAAAGTATTGGGACACCCCCCTCCAAAATCATTGGATTCAGGTGTTCCAATCACCTCCATGGCCACAGGTGTATAAAATCAAGCAACTAGGCATGCAGACTGCTTCTACAAACATTTGTGAAATAATGGGTCGCTCTCAGGAGCTCAGTGAATTCAACCGTGGTACCGTGATAGGTTGCCACCTGTGCAATAAGTCCATCTGTGAAATTTCCTGGCTACTAAATATTCCACGGTCAACTGTTAGGGTATTGTAACAAAGTGGAAGCAACTGGGAACAACAGCAACTCAGCCACCAAGTGGTAGGCCATGTAAAGTGACAGAGCACGGTCAGTGCATGCTGAAGCGCACAGTGCGCAGAAGTTGCCAACTGTCTGCAAAGTCAATAGCTACAGACCTCCAAACTTCGTGTGGCCTTCAGATTAGCACAACAACAGTGCATAGTTGGCTTCATGAAATGGGTTTCCATGGCTGAGCAGCGGCAACCAAGCCTTACATTTCCCAGTGCAATGCAAAGCGTCAGATGCAGTGGCGTAAAGCACGCTGCCACTGGACTCTAGAGCAGTGGAGACATATTCTCTGAGGGGGGAAATGGGTCCGATTTCACGCTCAGCTCTATCTTCTCCCCACCACCGCCTATCCCCTCCATCCTTTCCAGGCCCCTCCCTTTTTTTTTCCTGTAAGTTCTGCAGTTCAGTTAACTGACATCGCAGGTCCTTTTTCTCCTCCTCTTCCATATCTATTTGTTTAATGTTTTTCATTTGATTAATATTAATTCAGCCTCTAAAATTAATTTCATTCTAAACATGCCTCATCTGAAAGAAAATTTTATTAAAAGAAATTTGTTTTTTTTGTTTTTTTTTTTACCTTCAGACTCCGTACTGGGTTTCATGCCCCAAGTTTTATTAAACAAATAGGATTAATAACCCGCAGATTTTATTTGTATTTATTAGTAGTAAAGAGTTTAAAGCCCTGCGGAGTGATTTTACTTTGATTAGCAGCAAAGTGATTATAGGTCTCTTCTAATGTGTCTTCTACTTGATTACCATTAAAACAGTTTATGCCCCATAAAGTTAATTTATAGCCACCAAATCCAGATCGCTGCAAGTCAGTCAAGGCGATTTGAAAGAGTGTCTCGATCCAAGTTTATACATTGTGAGAGGGAAGGAGAGGGAATTAGCTTAGTATACAGTTATTGCCTTTAAGTGTTTCCAGAAATCTCTTCTCGGGGAAGCCTATCCTACTTCTACCTAACAATTAAAATTTTTCTTTCCTAAACAACTCATCCTTCACAGTTATTACCTTTTTTGTATCTGTTGCCCTTCTCTTTTATATTGTAAGCTCTCATGAGCAGGGCCCTCCTTACCTTCTGTTCTGGTTTTGTTTTATAAATGTGCTTTCTCCCTTTATTTTGTACATCACTGTGCAGACTGTTGGCGATGTGTAATAATAGCGATAATAATGATGCCTTGTTCCCAATGGATTATCTGTATGCAATACAATTTAATCTCCTTGTGTGGAACACAGGAGGTCACTCAATTGGCATGGGTACCATTCAGAGACACTTTGCATTTTCTCAATGAATGCAAAGTGTTCTCTGATTTTACAAGGTGGGTTGATGAGGGAATGATCTGAGGGTTACCCTCTGTGCTCACTATGCAGCAGGGCAGGCACTTGGCACAGGTCCCAGAAGCAGTACCTACTACAGTTATTTTAAATCTCCACAGGGATCATCCAGATATAGCACATACATACGTACATAATTATTCAAATAACCACGTCTAAATTTCATGTTTAAAGTAAATAATATCTGCTGGTAAGCAAGTGATACTTGCAAATGGATACTATTTACTTTAACTCCAAGTTTTGAAAAAACATATCTCTCAATCAATGCTGAGTCTAGTGCCATATATGCACCATATATAACCCATGCAATGCGATGGCAGTGCACTGCAAGGCCCCTGGTAGATGAGAGCTGCCTTACAAGAGCCTTTGAGCTTCATTAGCTGGATAAAGTTAAATGGTAAACTTTAAAGTTAATGTCAAGCTATAACACTTCGAATCCACTCCATTGACAGGTATCCTGTGTTTATTATAGGGCTGATTCAGTGCAAAAAGCACTAGGGATGATCTATACTGCACATGCTTTCAGTGATGTGTCTGAAACTAGGGGAACTGACAAGCAGATTATGTTTTCCTGTGTAGCATGAAAGGCATCCCCAATATGGCTTCCAAGTACATGCTCCCAATGTGTAAAACTTCTTTTAAGACAACGGTTCTATAAATCCTGAATACTTTGTATCTATTATATTTGAAGGCCTTTTTATACAATTGCTCATTGTTTTTCAAGCTCTTCTGCTTTTAATATCAGCATGTCTATTTTGGCAGATCTGTGTAAAAAATAATTTTCTTGAAAACTCCGGGGGAACTTTTTAATGCAGAATAAATCAAATCCGAAGCCAACATTTTGGTTCACAATGAGAACCCTTTTTTTTACATTGCTTTGAAAATGCATTTTTCACCTTATTTATCAGCTGAATGCTCTGTAAATATAGCAATGTGACATGACAGCGAGTCTTGTACTGTAATAACTGCATGTCTCTGGTGGATAGAGCAATACAATGTCAGCTTGATTATCTCCATTCACCTTGGGGAGTGAGGGTCTTCATGTCAGAGTGGGGAGAGCTTCCGGTCTACTTTAATGCAGGAAAATCAGCAGGGAGGCAACAGACTGAGAGGACTGGGTGTTTGTAAGTGGTGATGGAGTTTCATACATGATTACTTTATTTGAAAGAAAGGCGTATGTTATATGTCTCTGGATACCAAATAAAAGATGGTAAAATCAAACTAAACAAGGATGCAGTAGGTGAATTTGCTGCCTTTGTAAAGTAAGCAATAAAGCACCTAAAGCAAACCTGTCAGATACAATGATTTGTCCTAACTGTCATTTGTGCTAGAGCGCACACACATTCTGGTACCTGCAAGCACCTTTGACGGGTGTTCCTGGGTAGCTGTTGGGTCCCGTTTACACACTATGAACAGTATTTTGTCTTCTACTTAGCTAAGGACTCATTGACAATCAGAGTCCCATAAAGCATGTAAGAAGAGTCGCTTGTTTTTGTTTCTGGAGCAGAGGCGGGCAGGCAGCCTATGTTAGGCTAGGTTCATATTTGTGTGTTGTCAGAATGCATGCCAAATTGTACACATTCCTGCAATGCATAAAAAAATGAGCATCCTTTTTTGCAGGCACTTTTTTGCAGTGTCATTGATTCTTAATGGCACCCAAACACCTTACTAATGTGTGCACCCAGGGTGGATTTGATTTAAATCAAACTGATTTAAATCACGATTTAAATCACTAGTCAGTAAGGCTTGATTTAAATCCTAGTTTTCTACATAAAGACTGATTCTTGCTGGTATAACTTTAATATGCAAGTAGATTAAGATTTTTAGAATAACAACTTTTCATATTAGTTTTTTTATCCCCAGTTTAATAGGTTAATCATTCATATTTGGACAACTTTTCTGTTGTACTTAGGAAGGAGAAAAATAATCATTCCCGTAATAATAACAATTTAAATAGATTTATTCAACTGAAACAATAACATTCCAGCATCTGTTATTTGCTTAAACATCCATGTTTATTAACTAATTTGGCTAAACAAATATATATATTTTAAGAAACTTAGACTGTCAGCCCCTTCCTCCTCACACTTAGTTTCACTTTCTTCTTGTGCAGATCTATTCCACTCCAAACAATCAGAAAAATATTGTTTCTATTCTATTCACTGAACTTCTTGAAACTTAGCACTGAAGGGGTTGATTCTGTATTCATAGGTTTGTAGAAGTTAGGATTAAGGTCTTTTTCTTAACTCTGTTCATGTTATAACATTTTTGCTGTGAAGAAGAGGCATGTGATCTCCGCTGAGTCAAATTCAGTTTTGAGAACTGTGAAAGTAAACCAATCATCTGTGATAATATCTTGTAGGCAGAGAAACTGCCCAATAATCTTACAAAAACCTCTGGAAGAGCATGACATTGTGAATGGATTCATGGAATTTATTTACCAAAAAAATTAAACATATACACCCTTATTCTACATAATTAAAAAACTAATCTTTATTTCATGATGGAATAACCATTGGATGGTAATATATTTTCCTCAAAGCAAGCATTTTATTCAACAAAATCCGATTTAAATAAAAAAAATCTGATTTAAATTAAAAAAAAATCCGATTTTTAATTTTTTTTTTTTTTTAAAAATCATTGATTTTTATCCACCCTGGTGCGCACCAAAACACATGGTAGCAAAGTGCCATGGGGGAGATTTACTAAAACATGTGCACTCAGAATCTGGTGCATTTGTCCATGGTAGCTAACTTCAGCTTGTTCAGTTATACTTTGGCGATAAAGTCTGAAAGCTGATTAATTTCTCTACAGCGTTGTACCAGATTTTGCACTTTCCAGTTTTAGGAAATAACCCCCCATATGTTTGAGACACAGCAACTGTATGAACTCTACATCTAAGTCTAATAGGTATACAGGTATGACTGGAGGGCCCCCAATTGTAGACAGTGTGCTTTAGGGGCTGTGCATTCACCCCTACACACCTGTCAAAAGTGGATGTGTGGGTAAGTGGTCCCTCTACATGGACCATAAATGTAAGGGGGCATGTCTCCCACTGACCATTAGTGTGAGGGTACATGGTTAATTTCATGATTATTACTGAAAGTACAAAATGTTGCATAGAGCAGGAGGGTGTTTAGAAACATCATCTGTCTTGGGTGTTAAATACTGTACATTTAGGTATGTCACATTCTTTATTTTTAATATTTTATTTAAAATTTGCTGATCATGCTAAAATACCATTAATGTAGATTTACTAATTTTAACAGGAATTACCTAAAACATGGAAGTTATTTTAAGGGATCTTCAGGGGTTAAAAGGGTTGATCAATCTGCCCTATACAAAGGAAGGAATTTGATTTGCCTACTTCTGAAAAAAATATCTGTAATCATTAAAACGGAATTCTAGGTATGTTGTTGTGGGGTTTTTTTTGCATAGTTAGATTGGTCCAAGCTGGTCCAAGTATACATGTTCCATACCTGGCCAATCCCTGCGGAAGCTACTTGCTCCCCTGCATGTGTGCCATTGCCTTGCATTGTTCTTGATAAATGCAAAGCATTCTCTGATTGGATAAGGTAAAGCCTCCAACCAATCAGAGAACACCTTGTATTCATACATTGTTACAGGAAGCATAGCTTGGCCCTGGAAATGTGCAGTTTTTGTAATGCTGGGTAAACCATCACTGAAGAGCAGTTAGTCTCTAAGGACACATGAACAAATCCAATCAGCAGATGGAGGCAGGAGAGTTGATGGTGGTGTAAAGTGTAAAGGTTATTTACCTTTCTCTCTAAAAAGTATAAAACCATTCTAAACAGCTAAAACACAACACTAAATGATTTAAGTTTAAAA